TTGGGTAGAGACTTTATAGGGGTTGTATAGGCTGGGGGTGGTGGATGTAGGATGCCGCTGCTCAAGTAGTGGTAACTAAACGCCTCGTGGATGGATCATTGGGTGGGTGGGTGTTTGAGTGAGCTTAGCAGTCAAAGTGAAATTGAATAAAGGCACGAACGAAAATAAAGTTGTGGGATGGGATAGGCAGAGATTCTTATCCAAATAAACAATAGGGGTTGGGGGAAAGTCATCAGGGGGAATACCCAGGAAAAGGATTTTGGGTTCTCTGTATGCAAATACAGTCTTGGATATTTTTAGAGAAATATTCCACACCTTCTTTAGTTTTCGTTTCCCAAAGCTATTTAGATAAATTATGCAAAACTTTAGGGCGGAAAAACATTTCTCATACCTGAATAATTTAAAATGAATATTCAAAAAGTATTAATAATTAAAAATTACTTTTCGGTTAAGTATTCTGTATATAACAGATCCACAGTGTGACCATGCACCACATAGAAGCATAGGCACCACAGCATAGACAAATGCAATTAAAATCGATAAGTTTTAGCATTCCCAGTTAATTGGATTATTTTTCTGTCCTCCTTTGGTCCCTGTTTTTGATATAACCTGGCTACCCCTTAGAAAAACGATACAAGAGGTCCAAAAAATGGAGAAGGAAAGAACAGATCGAGAAATGGGACAAATGGGCGTTGGGGGAGGATGTGCATTGGCAGTGTAATGTCAAGTGTGCGGAAGCATAAAACAAACTCCTAACGGGATAGCTAGCAACTCTTTTTTCACTTTCTCTCTCTTTCTCATTTTGACTGTGTGCGTGCTGGTGTATGAATGTGTGAGTGGTGTTGGTGTATTTGTATTTGTCTATGTCAAGTGTCAACATTTACTTCGTGACAACACAAATTGTGGCTGTGGCCATTTTAGCACCCGCAACAACTGTTCGTGTGAGTGTGTGTGGAAAAGCCACAAGTGCTGTCCCTTCTTAGGATCGTAACCTTCCTGTTTTTCCTAAATTTTGTTGCCATGTGTAGAACTGTAGATGTGTTCGTCTGCTTGAGATTTTTCATTTTAGATGTGGTCGCCAACTTGCCACGCATTCTCCTTCTTCTATCTCCTTCACTCTCCTTGCCCTATCCCTCTCTTTTTGCATTGTAAATGAAGCCACAATAATAAAAACCCCAGACTCTCATGTCAGTACACAGTGAAAATATGTGTCAAGTAAATATTTAACACTTTAAAGTTGCAAAAATTGTATTACTGCATTAACTCTTAGCTGAATATTTTTTAATAGCTTGTTAAATAGAGATTAATGAATAGTAATGTCATAAAATTAAAGCAAAATGGGAAGAATGTTTGTGAAAACATCTCTCGAAAGTATGCAGTATTTTACATTTCCTGAGGAACCAGGCGAAACTTAGTCCCTGATAAATGTATATACAATTCTTTCACTGTATAGCACGCACACATTAGTGTGTTTGTGGCTTTGCCAGACTGCAACAACCTACAAATTATAGTTTTAAGCTGGCTTTCCCCTCCGGGTTGTAGTTTGTTCTTCCAGCCGGAGCCGCAGTTCTACTTGTAGTAGCTGCTCTTATCTTCGGTGCTAACATTCTGAATGGTTTTGCGGGTTAGTTGGCACGGCTTAAACCCCTGCCTGTCCTTTGCCCGCCCGATGTCATCTCTGTCGGATCGTAATTTCTAATTTGTTTGTATTATTGCCGCAGTTCTCGTCGACTTTCTTGCCTTTTGAGTTTGTCTCTATTACGAATGACATTTGTGACGGCTAAATTGAATAATGCTGTTAAACTGGATGGCATTCATTTGCCACTGAGTTAACTTGACACTTCGTTGGAGTTGCATAAATTTTCAATTGCGGTTTGGATGGTGTCGTATTACTTGAGAAATTCATTGCTTATTAACTCCTCGTTGGAGGTTTTGGGAACTCTCTTTTATTTAGCTATTCTCTCTTAAAATTTTGTATAACACTTCCTATAAATGGGAAACTATGTTGGAAAGTTGACGTTTTTCTTAAAACAAAACGACTTCCGACATAATAAGGAAAAAATCCTTGAACGCAGTAAATGATTCCAAAAATCCCCTACATTTATTTAAAAGCTTTTCGTGAGCGGTTGCAAAAAATTCCCTAAAAGGATATTTTACTTCATTTGGAATTGGTTTATTCGAAAGGCTCTTATATTCGGCGTAGTATAAAGTACGTTTTCTGCAAATCTCCTAATTCGAAGAATATAATAACTTCCTGAAAAGCATTAAAAGTCCTCTAACATTTTCTATAAACTAAAATATAATATGGCAGTCTTTTATGACGTTCGGTTGTAAAGTATAAGACCAAAATTAAACTTGAAGACTTATACTTTATTTATTATGGGCTGAAGCCCACCATAAAAGCTCTCCGAATGAGTTTTCTACAATAGTTAAAGCAGAGCTGCGTGGTTAAACTTTTATAGAACAGTAGTATGCTTCGTTCATTTTAGCCATAAAGCTTTCTTGGAGAATTTTCTCTTTTCCCCACGATTTTAAATTTTTTTCAACAAAACATCAATGTGAGCTTGAAATATAGCAGCGATTTTCTATTTTATAAAAACATCATTACTATTTAATAATTTTTTTTCTCATATATACAATGAATAATAAATTTGCGAACATTTTTTGAAACATATACAAGTTTTTAGTTTTTTGGCCAATTTATAATGTAAAGGTATTTTGAAATCAAAAACTTTCAAAACTAATAATTGAACTTTATTTTAAAACCAAAATTCTTGTTGAAAACCCCAAAAAGTCTCAAAACTTCTTTGAGAAATATTATTATCCAAGTTAACCACACGTCTGGACCACAAAGTCTCTCATTCAGTTTGCAGAAGTCAGATCCTGCCAAGATGTTCACTTGAATAACTCTGCTGGCCGAGCTTTTTGCACAATTTGCAGTGATTTTGTTTTGGCAATTGCCAGAAAACCTTTATACATTATAAAAGAGCTTGGTCTGGCAGTTTGTAGAGTCCAGTCAAAAGTTTAATTGTTGAGGTTTCTGTTTGCGTCTGACATTTGTGTGTTTTGGCCCTCGCCCGCTCAGGAACTTCACTTGCATATATATGAGAATTTTTATGAGCCACTCATTAAGTATTTGGCGCAAAAGTTTTTTGCAGTTTTATTTCTATATTACCCAGTTTTTTGCTCCGAACTCTTTTTCCAGCTGGTGGTGTGTGGTCAGTAGCCAAAGTAAGTCTCAAGTGCAGTTGACTTTTAATTGGGGTCGAAATCAGTGGCGATGGCGTAATTATGCAATAGAATGTGCGGTGATTTCCATTTTTTCTTTTTCCGACAGTTTATGCTGATTTTAGTATGCGAAATTTAAAGTAACTGCCGGGATGTCAAAGCTTAAGGCCATGTTATCTGGCTGTTATATATAGGATAAAAAAGTGACTTGGATGTCCGCCACAAGCGTTTGCAATTTATAAAAACTTATCGATATCATCAATCACCTCAACGCACATGCTTTTTACCTTCCAGCTAAACTGCAGAGTCTGGTCTAGATAAATAACTTTATTAAGTGCTGCAAGTCTCCATGTCAAAGTTCCAAACTTGAGGGAGAAAGTGCACTCGAGAAGGGGAAAAATGCAATTGCTTTGGCAGGGGGATATGCGGGCCACAAATTGAAATTGAACTTGAATCGAGAAGCAAGCGCTTTGTGCTGGATATTAATCAAATTTGATTGCCTGTTAATATGGCGAGGCAATTGGATGGCAATCTCAACTGAAAGTTTCATCCAAGTGCATCAAATTAATTTACAAAGTGGGATTGCAGTTGCATTATTCAAGTTCGGCTTGGAAGCTTCTATAAAGATTCTGTGACTTTTCAGTTCGATTTTCGACATTTTTCAGATTTAACTAAAAGTTGAATATGGTTTTGTAAAATAATTATTTTGCGAAACATGCAGAACTAGTTGCATTTCAGTTTGTGATGAGCTAATATAATAGTATACTTGTATATAGTTCATACAAATGTCAGAAATAATAAAACTCAATATTTTTCCAATTGGACCTTGAACTACTCATTAGTGCATTAAATTAATTTCCAAGCCGCTGAGCATCTGCTACTTCTCTAGCGAGTTTCGTATTACAAACTTGTGTTTTCTAATAAACTTGAAAAATATAAATTAACTAAACGCTCGCAGATTCACTCCAGAGATGTTGCTTCATAATTAAAAAGCTCTCCGGCTGCCATGGAGGAGAGTCTATTCCCGTGGGTAAACCCTCAACAACTTAAACTCGGAAGAAAGTAGGTGAAAGTACTATTTAAACCAGCCTGGCTGAAATGCTCAAGAAGAGTAGGGGTTGCAAATATAAAAAAAATGTTCCACTCGGCGGGTAGAAACTCTTTGGGCAAGTTAAATATGAACAGAAAAAAGAGGGAAAGGCGAGGAAAAAATAAAATACGGAAATATGAGAGCGGCAACTTTTAACCCTTTATACAAAGAGTTGGCTATCTCTTGGATATTTTTTTGCGCTTTGACTAGGACAGTTGTAAATTTCGGAAGCACTTTGAAGGGTGACCCCCATTTCGTAGGCTTCCTTATTTGTACATATTAAATCCCAAAGCTGGTTCTTATTTTCTTTCTTAGAGTATTTTGCAATCGTGGTTATACATTTGTATCCCTTTTTTCGTTTGCTTTTTCATTCAAGAAACCCAAAGTTGAAAGTTTGAAATTAGTATTCAGATTTTCCCATTTTTTCACACACTTTGGTGAAATTTAAAACTGAAAAAAATAAATTTCAGTCCTAAAAAAATCATAAAAAATCTTTTGTTGTTAAGAAAGTAAAAATTTTTAATTACTACCAAAAGATGATATCCCTATTTCTAATATTTTTTTAAAAATTTTTTTCTATATTTTTATTTCAGTGCATTTTGATTTGAATCTGAGAAAGTTATCTGAGACTGGTCAAGTTTTCGTTTTCATCAAGCATAAAATAACACGGACTGGCACTTACCAATTAACAAAAGTTTCCAAATATGCATTTGAATGTCGAATGCGGCTGAGTCCATTCAAATTAGAAGCAGACGATTTAAAAGCCCCGCCACTCGCCAGCGTGCTTTCTCCCCAAATCTATCGTTCAGTCTCAGTCCGTTTCTTTCGCTCGAAGGATTCTGCTCTGTTCGTATCCTTGATTCTGCACAGGATCTTAGGCTCGGAATGGCTGTCGATGGATGCGCTCAGCAGTTGGGATTTGTTGTCGCCACGGCGTAGGCAGCATCATCTTGTCCAAAAGTTTTTGATTTTAATTGTTGCATTCGCCTGGACTACGTTTCCGTTTTTGATTTTTCTATCTTTCTTTTTTCGACGAATAACAGAGGCAATTAAACTTTCAGTTCGTTGGTCGGTGCTGGCAATCGTGCAGTAAATGATTGACCCCGTTCCTATTCCTTATCCCGTCTGTGTCCTTTGGTTATCCTTGTCGTATCTCTGCTTGTCACTTCTCCACTTCCTGTTGGCTAGTTGCAATTTTATGCAATTTTCTGGGGCAATTTCAGGGCTCAGTCTCCGTTGTTTCTTGCCCTTCTTTTTTGGCCTGGTCTTTAAGTTATTTTTAGTGCCGGTTTTGTGTTCGCTTTTGGGGAATTGGACAGTTTTTAACTGGATTTGTCAATTATTGCGATTTTGTGTTTCCCATTGAATCCGGCTTAAGTTGTTGCCAGCTCTGAAAGGAAAAGGAAAAGCATAAAGATTAGATTTGCTTATTCTTGGTTCACAAAAGTTGAATAAGAAAGTATAAGTGCTTAAAGTGGACTAGGAAAAGGTTTAAAAATTAAAGAGACTTTACTCTTCTTTCTATAAAGGGATTTACTAACATGTGACATGATCCCAAATAAAATCCAGTTATTTTTAATATGCAAATATTTTTGCTATTTGTGAATATATTTTTATATTAAAAGCTTGTGGCTTACTAAGATCACAAAAAATCTATAAAATGCTGTATTAACTTGCCACTTACATTCCCGCCAGTGTCGATGATTAATTATGAGCCCAGGCCAAGGCGGACAATGCACAAATTATTGGCATAATAAATATTGAACAGAAAAAAATAATAACATGCCAGAAGAGACCCGAGGCGCGACAAACTGAAATATTAAGTGCGATTAAAAATGCAATAAATGCAACGCACATAAAGGCGAAATTGAATAATTGTGGGACACACATTTTTTTTCATCCACGTATTTAAAGTGCGGTGTGTATGTTTACGAAGCACACCGGAAAATGAGCAAACGAGTTAAACAGTAGCGTTTCCATAATTAATAAATTAAATAAAGCTGGCAAATTTGCTCCCAGCTCACCGAAGTCAGGCCAATAAAAAAGGAGAGCTTATTTGGCATTTATTGTTGTCATTTTGGCTTTATTCACCATAAAGGTGTAATAAACTGTGAAACAACTTTATCGACACAAAAATGATGCCCTAAGTTTTAACAGCCAGCTGAACTAGTATCATCGCCATCTCATTAATGCAGCCTAAAATTTAATGGTTTTTTTAGTGTAAATTTGTGAGACCGCCAAAATCGAAAAACTTTCGAATAACCAAGCATAATTTTCACCCTTAATATATCTAAAAAAAAATCATCTTGCTACTTTAATATTTTAAAAATGGATTTATGAGGGTAGGCATGGAGTTTCAAAGGGTTTTGGGTTCTAGTCTAGTCTCGTCTCGTTTTATTGGCGGCCTGTCTCCATTTTGCCATGAATTACTTCTTTTCTTGACGTTTTGTTTTCTAACAACCGCAAAAGACAATAAGGATGCCTGTGTGTGTGTGTGTATTACACTGTTTGCATGTGTGGAAAGGCTCGCACACACGCACACTCGCACACACACTGAGAACGACTGCTATTTAATTTATGAAGTAGAGCGCGTAAAAATTGTGCATTGTGGCGTTTTCACAATGAGCAGAGTGCGAAGGGGAACGGATAAAACAGGGACTTATCTTGCACTCCATGCACGCTTCTTCATTTTTCCTCATTTTCCCAGTTTTTCTACTTTTTTTTTTGTTTTGTAAGCTTGGCACAACAAAAGACAGTTTAGAAATCACTGAAGGGTCGGAGACCGACATTGTCATTATGTTTTGTAAAAGATGCAAATGCTGCCAGTTATTATGCCAAGTGTTTGTCGCTTTAAGAGGGATTCTTTACCGACTGTGCAACATGATAATAAGAAATGATACTATAGACTGATCAATAAATCATTATAAGCCAAAGAAAAGCTATCTAAACACCTTTCAAAAATAAAATGTATTTCACAGACTGTACTAGAAATAGCCCATATTATCCTCGATTATATTTTTTTTGGCTAATTTACAAGTTTGTTTATACTTACAAACCAAACTCTATAGCCAAATTTATCCGCCAATCACATAGACCATTTATCAAATACTTTTCCCATCCTTTCGAATTAGACGCAAAAACTTTTCTCCAAACATATACACCCTCAAACACTTTCGTGGGAAAACTTTCATCGAACTAGTAGCAATTTAACACCATTTTATGCAGGCGTGGGAGGGGTGAAAGTTAATCTCCTGCTATAAATCACAAGTTATTAATGCTCAACGTGTTCGCTGTAGTGCTCAATTTCCCACCGGAAGCTGCTGCATCATCGTCATTATCATCATCTGTGACCTTATTGGCGTCTCATCACCATAGGATCAATTTAGTTGCCTAATTAGTGGCAAGGTCTATTTGACTAAGATATTTAGAAACTAGCTAAAGTTGAGGAAACTTTGCATGCAGCCATATAAACCCAAAATGTTGGTAATTACACAGAGGAAAAATAAGAAACTCATATGTTTTAAGTATAAATTTTATAAAATATTAAATATGAACTAAGTTTTATTTTTAAATCTTATATTTATTTTATAACTCATTTTTCATTTTTAAAAGAAGAAGCTGACGTTTTAAACATTCTTAACAGTTATTATCAATTTAGATCCCTTTTTCCACCGCATAAGTGCCAAAAGAAAGCATCAGCAATCAGCTTATCCAAAAGCTTCTCCATTGAGCTCATCAACAGTTGGAAATCAATGCTGGAAATCGGACAATTCACTCCCCGGATGGTGAGTGTCTCAAATTTTCACATGGGACGAAGCAAACTTGCACTTCATTCGGACAATTGACATGACCACTGACACGTGTAAGCTATGGCACGCAGTTTTAGCATTCCACGTTTCATCTCCATTCATATATACATATATCCAGATATATATATCTCTGGATCGACAGGAGTAAGGAAAAAAATCCAGACTAGACTACGATGAGGTGCAGCATCTCATGTTTCTGCGAAAGACATGACGATGTCATTGTCATTGGCCAACCAGGCCAAAACTCCAGCGTCACGTCACGTCAACGAAACCAGTGCCAAACGCAAACCAAAACCCAAATGCGACTTCAGATTAAGGCGTGTCGAGGGGTCGGATGGAGGGGGCGTGCCAACAGCTAAGGGGGCGGGACAGGGGCGCTAGACAGATTTGAGGAACAAGAGGACAAAGCATGAGTTATGGCTAGATATGACGACTATGCTCAACAATTTCTCTCCATGATTCTTTATGATTGTGGTGCCGGGTGGTTCGTTTTCGAGTGGGTGGTGCTGGCGGTGCCTGCGGAGCCATGCAATAGTCACTGTCTGTTCCGTACATGGCCAACATTTTTTACGAGCAACATAAGTTAGTTCAAGGCATAGTCCACTGTCTAAAACTCTTTTTCGCTAGTTCCTAAAAACTTGATTCAATTTATAAAACTATTCAAATAATAAACAGTTTATTGATTGATTAAGTTGATCAATAAAATATTTTGGAATTATCTATAGTTTTAAAATAAACCTAAAACCAACTCTTCGAATAAAACCTTGTAAGTAGAATAACTTTTAAAAAATATTGCAATCATTTGATTTTCAAATTTCTAGTTGTTAGTCGGATAAGCCGAACCCAGTTTTAGCTGCATTTTTGCAGACAGCTGCTGTTGATTTCTTTGTGGCATGTGCTTAATCCAATTTCCAATGCAATTGTCGCTACTGAGATACGTCGGAGCTCAGAGGGTGATGCAACCCATGTAGAACCCTACTCATCCAGCCCGAAATCCCAACAATCCTTATGCATGGGTAAGGGGACTCCATTGTGGTTTGACAGTGTCAGGGCAAAGTTTTTATGTTTTCGCCATTTTCCCGGACAACGCCCCAACTATTTTGCTTCCATAGGAAGAAAGATTCGGGAGGAGTAACAACTTGATGATAGACAACTATTCGACTACACTCGCAGCGGTTGTCGCCGTAATTGACGAAAAATTTCCAACCAATGTCCCGACATCGCACATGGATGAGCACAAGTCAGAGGGATAATTATGACCATGGAGGGAGATGCCCGGAAAACAAATGACAGGTGCGGACTCTGATTACGAATGGTTAGGCAGAGTGAATGGGAGCAGTGGAAACCTCGAAAAATCCACTAACGAATTAAACAAATCTTCCACGAACATAGCTACATTTTTGTCGTAGCATTTTGGATGCCATCGGTTATGTTCCAGGCATCCTTGTACTCTCTGTTTATAGGCTGCAACACTGGAAACTTGTTTTAGGACCCTTGGAAATATATTGCTGTCACATTTTTCCGTTTGCGTAAAAAGTGTTTTATTATTTTAAAGAGAAATGTGACTAAACTTCATGATTTTTATGATGTTTTTAATTTATAACTGGTTAATCGGTTTTGTAGAATTCAAAGTTGTTTGTATAATTTTGAAGTGAAAAGAAAATATTTCTTCGAAATTCGCAATCGAACTTTTTCCGAGTGTTGTCCGTGGTCTAGCAATTTGAGAGCTCAATCATGTTGCAGCAGCTGTTCGTGCGAGTGGCCAAAATGCTGAAATGCCGAAACGCATGTTCCCCTGTTTTGGGGTTTTCGAACCCATTCTCTACTCCTTACACCCACCCACCCACTCTCACACATGGGAAAATTATGTAAATGACATTAATCCTTATGGGGCACAATAGTTTAACGGTTCGGCGCTTTATTGTCACGTCCCAAACGAGAGGCAGCATCAACAATGGCAAACTCCGGCAGTCCGAATAGCATCCGACCGGACTGGACCCGCAGTCCGGAGTCCAAAGTCCGTAGTCCGGAGTACGGACTTTTTATGCCCACGTGCTTGGGGGATTGCGTGTACCTCCCTGCCAACATCCCCTCGTTCTGCCCCACAGATGACAGCTAACTTTTTCCTTGTTAATTGCGAAATCACTTGGTGGAACAAAAGCGAGCATTTCCCTTCCATAAATACGTATATATGGGGCACCACCCAAGCACACACCCAATGCACAGCTTACATAATCAATTACGTGATCAACGTGATAACCTTCCTTTTGATTTGATTTATGCCCTGGTACTTGTATCTCAAGATACACACCAAGCAGTCTGCGATAGGACCTACGTTAAGCAAAGGTCCTTGGCTTTGACTTTAATTAATTATGGATTTTCATGAACATGAGAAGATTCATATCTTTCCTTGATCAAAAAAAAAATATTAAAGAAAGTGGAAGAACAAGGCTTTATTTATATACTTAAATATAGATAAGAATATAACAGATCATTGCAGCTTAGCTCTTAAACTCCCAACATCATTTCCTTTTTTTAAAATATTATTAATTAAGATACATCATTTCACACTCTG